GGACACTTTTGTCTGTTCAGCGCTGATGGAGACCTGTGCCAGCACTTGCTTCCTTGCACAGGCCACGGGGTATAGTCCTTCTCCAGAAGCTGTTGTCCCAAGAGAGTGGACTGTGGGGCTGGGACCTCCTTGGCCATCACTTGTGGGCTGGGTACCTACTGTGGACCATCAAATGCAGAGAAAAGGGGATGCTGGAAGCATTCCTCATTAACTAAAGCTCCTTCTTTCCCATGCCGTGCCCTCAAAGAGGCCTTGGGATGGATGTGGGTCCATCCTTCTTCGCGGTGAAGGTGTGGGACACTGGAGCCCGTTGGTGTCTGGGGCCGGAGACAGTTCAAGGGTGACAGAGGCCATTGCGTTGCCTGGAATTAACTCTCATTTTCACCCAGAGCGTCTTGCAGAGGACAGTGATTAATTACTCTCAGCATCAAATATTTGTGTCCTACCACTGAACTTGTGCTGTTCTACTGGTTCTGGTTGGACTTTGCTGCTGGAGCAGGAGCTCCCTGTTGTCAGAGCTTTCTTCTCCGGGGAGGGCAGATCCTTGGGCGGCTGTGGTTCAGCTAAGGCGGGCTCAGCTCCAAGAGATGTTTCCTACACCCAACGCTTGAACATCCCTGTGATCCTTCCCCAAGCCCAGGCATGGAAACCAAACACAGGGTCTACCAAAGCCCAGCCTGAAGGCGCTTCCCATGGTACGGCCAACCTGAGCCACAGCCACCCAAGGAACCACCTTGACCCTTTGTGTGATCTTCTCCCTCTTCTCCCTGAAGGACTCTCTATCCCTTGTTTCCAACTTACTTTGGGCCATGACTGAGGACTTTTGGGGGACTTTCCTTATGTTTTGCTGCTGTAAAACACAAGCAACCGTTTATGCCCATCATCCCATGCATCTGATGCCACCTTGGTGGGACCAGCCCGAGTCCCAGGCTCCGATCCTCCATCTGTGAGGGGTTTCCACGCTTTTCGGCTGGAAGGTGGGCACAGCCCAAACCTCTCCTGGCAGGCCCTCTCTGCTCCTGGGGTGCTGCGGCTGGAGCAGCTCCTTCAGGGAGTATCGGGGCTGCTCCCCAGGACAGCATTGCTGGGAGCATGGACCATCCAGCCAAGCGATGACCCCGGATCTGGCGTTTTGCAAATCCCCTCGTCTTCGGAAAATTCCTGCCTCTGACTTGTTTTTTTCAGGTTGCGCAGGATCCCCAGGTGTTTACAAAACACGGCTCCGCTTCCAGCCGCATTCATGGCTTCGGGAGAGGTTTCACCTTCTGGGAAGCTGCTCCTTGGCCTGACCTCGAGCTTTTCCACCCTGGTGAGGACCCCGTGTCGCTGTGCCCACTCGCCCACATGGCCTTGGCAGCCCCTTTGCCAGCCGGGCTTTCTGCACCACGGTTCTCCAAACGGGAGCTGCTTTTGGGCTGCAGGGACCTTGCTCCGTCGGTGTGGCTGGGAAGTGTTGGTGACACTCCCAGCTCCGCTAAAGCCTGCTACCATCATCCCCCATCTCCTGGGACACGCGTGGTACCCGTGCCGGGCTTGCTTTGCCAGCCTGGCATCACCCTCCCATCTCCCATACCTCCCCGTGCTCCTTGCAGGGCATCTACCTCGATATTAGGGTGGTGGGGACAGGGGAAGTGTGGCTCCCCCTTGGCCAGGAGACAGATCCCAGGGGAAGCTGGCTTGGCCACGCTCCAGGTGACGTCCTGCCGCCTCTGCCCCCAGGGGAGAGGGCAGTAGGTCACAGCAGCTGTGACCTGGTTCCAATCCCACGCCTCCGTCTTGCCAGGTGAAGGCGGTTGCAGAGCGGAGCGTTGTCACCAACCCCAGGTTGCTCAAGAGGGTTGGGGCCAGGGAGGTAGAGGAGGAGTCCTCCAGCAAGAGGAACTTGGGGATTGGGGGGGGGCATATCCTGATGCTCTTGGAAGGTGGCCAGGGCGCACCGGCGCTTGCAAGATGTTCTTCTGGATGGCTCCGACCCATGAACAAGAGTGAGGTTGCACTGTGCCTGGTGGCAATGGTGCTTCTCATGGGAGGTGGTGGGGCTTGGTGGCAAACCACGAGCCCAAGACCGCCTGTGGTCCCCCACTGAGCTCGAGGAAGGCAGCAGGGATGTGCGCACGTGGCGTGAGGCTGGAGCTGACCTCGGAGCACGGCAGCAGGGAGAGGACTCCGTGCTGGAAAGGACTGGTGGGGTAGGATGGAGGAGGCAGGGGACATCTTCCAGCACAGGCTCTGTAAGGGCTGAGAGTGTGTCTCCACCACCAAACTGCTACAGAAGGGGATAAATGTGACAACAAGTGGAGCTGGGCTCATCCTCACTGTCCCCCCCTGCCTGGATGGGGGCCAGGGCAAGACGGGGGCCATGGACGAGTGCTGGAGGATGGGAGCCCGTCCCTGCCAGCCAGACAAATGGCCAGGACCAAGGACGTGGCTGTCATCCCACCGGGGACACAGAAGTGGCAGGATGTCTGGCTGGGGTTGGGGGAGCCGGTTGCAGCCCCTCTGGGTGCCAGGGAAGGGGAGAACGGCAAACGGAAGGCCAGCAGCGAGCGCCTGAAGAGCAGTGGGACACCAAGCGTCATTTCGGGTGGCCTCGCTGTGTGCGTGGCCGCCGTGCCCCCTCGTGGCAGCAGGACACAGCTGGTGGCCCTGGGCTGGCGTGGGCAGGAGCCAGGCAGGGGCTGAGCGTGGGTGCGGGCAGGGATGGAGGAGGTGGTGGGTGCCGCCCCGGTAGGGTCCACCTCATCCCACCCCGGAGCATCCTCCTGGGGGTGCAGCACCCCAACCCCGGCTCTGCTGATGCTGCCCGAGGCCACGCGTGCCCCAGGTCCCCACCAAGCCCACAAACCTGCCTCCGCTCGCAAAGGACTCCCCTGGCGTCCCGCCACCCCGTCTCCTTGCCGAGGGTGAGGGGGTCTGCACTCGTCTGGGTTTTTTTGGCATGAGACACTAGCGTGTCAGCCAAGTCAAGCCATTCAGGCGCCGCTCAAGGGCAACGTGTGCCCAGGGCCGGGCCGGGAATCCTGGAAATATCACCAAGGCTGCAAAAAAAAAAAAAACCTAGCTGGAAAAAAAAATAATAAATGGGTTGGTGGAGGCCTTCACTGAGGACACGGTCACCCCGAGTGCCACCAAAGTGCTCGGGGGGGGACAGGACATTCCGCAGCACCCTGCCTCAGTTTCCCCGTGAGCTCTTGGGTGGCAGGCCTGGGGTTATCACGTGTATCATGTCACTTTGGGTACCTGGGGCATGTGCAGGGGGTCGGGAAGATGCTTTCCTACCCCTCTCTCCTTCCCACTGTACGTCTGAGCAGCTCAGCGTCACCTGTCGTGACCTCTTTGCGGACCCAAGTCAAGCAACCGGAGGAGAGGAGAGCCAGACCACATCTTGAGGGACCTCTGGGACACCTGCACCTCTTGGCATGGCATCCCACTGTCCCCAGAGCCACCCAGGACCATCGCAGGCACCTTGCGAGCTGGGATGGGTTGGCACTACCCGGCTCCTCTGAGGCCACCGGCGCATCCAGCCTCACCGGAGAGGGAAAACCCTGGGCAGAGGTTAGCTGGGAGGAAGAAGCTGCCCTGCCCGGTGGAGTTTTTCTTCATTCCTTGAAAGCCGCAGAGACCTGCTGTGCGGGATTCAGGGCTGGAGGCAGCACCGGGGCAGCGCCGAGGTGGAGCTGCCGTGATGGATGATGTGACAGCGTTCCCAAATGCCTCTGCCACAGGTGACAGTGGCCAAAAGCATTGCAGCTGGCAGAGGGGGATGCTCAGAAATGGTACCCACTCACCATCTAGCATCTGTGGGGAGCATCACAGCCAGCACCCAGCCTGGGGTTTAATCCATGGCCGAGATGGCATGACCAGGAGGTGGCATGACCCGGAGGTGGCATGTTCCAACCTGGACGTCCCCCAGGCCCCACGGGGACAGGCAGATGCTGCCCTGGCTGCATTTACACCACGAGGAAGCCCGTGCACAGGGAGATGGTTCCAAGGCTTGCAACTCAGTCGGGGCCAGGTTTTGCCGGGGGACAACGTGGCTGCTGTGCCCTGGACCTGCTCCGGGAGTGACCCGGTTCCTGGGCTGGCTAAAATGCCCCAGGAGAAGTTTGTAAGGGAGAGGTGAGGTTTGAAACAGGGTATTACCCTTGATTTTACAGCGCCGTAGCCTCGCGCTCCAGCCGTCGCTCCTGCCCTTGAGCGTGCAGCCTTGAGCCTGGCAGAAGTCCTCGGTCCTTCTAGCAGTGTCCCCCCCCCCGGCATGTCCCGGTACAGTGGGGGGATCACGATGTCCCTGGGAGGGACGATGGTGCCTGCAAGGCCCTGGGCTGGCTGCTGCAGGCTGAGCGCTTGCCTCAGGCCGCAGGGCTGGGGACACGGCCGGAGGGATGCTGGCTTGGCCCAGGGAGGGGGTACCACATCACCCCGGTCTCTCGGGGCTCCGCAGGGGGGACAGGGACAGCGGGGTCCCCAGGCATGGCCAACCACCCTGGGGTGGCTCCGGCAGCACCCAGATCCTGCTCAGGACCGGGGTGACTGCTTCCCCAGAGGTGGAAGCAGTCCCCTTCCCTCCTGTCACCCCCTTGGCCCACGGCATCAAGAGCCTCCAGCATCCCAGCCCAGCAGCGGAGTGACCCAGGCACAGGGACAAGGGACACCAGCAGCGTGTCAGCTCACTTTATTGCCATAGCTGCCATGGGCCAGACCCAGTTCCCAGAGGGGCTCTGGGTCCACCCCCTTCACCCCTTTAATACTGTTTGAGAAGACAACCCCCGAGCCTCTGTGCCCATGCATGGGCGCTGAGCATCCTCCATCCCGGTTCTGCCCCGGAACAGCTCCAGGGAATCGCTCCCATCCTGCTGCCCGCACCTCTGGGAGCGGGGAAAAGTGAGGCGAGACCAAGGGTGCAGAAGGTTCCAGTCCTGGAGCAGCAGGCACTGCCACCACGTCCCGCCCTGGGGGCTGCCAGCGGTGGGGAGCAGCGTGAGCCCCCTTGGGCCAACTCACACGTCCATACCGGGCGCCCGCCCCAGGCCCAGCGCCTGCACCAGGTCATCGCTGAGCCCGCTCTTCAGCGTCCGTCGCACTGCCAGAAGAGGAGAGCGTGGCACTGGCGTCGCCAGCAGCAGCACGGGCAGCGCTGGCCGCCAGGGTCCCCACGCGGTGGCCCTGGGAAGGGCAGTGGTGGCAATGGGGTGCAGTGGCACCCTGAGACCGGACCGTAACACCTGCTGTGGCCTGGTGGGCTCAACATGGGAGATGAGGGGTGGCCAGTGGGGAAGGAGCCAGGCAGGGCATGGGGACAAGGGCGCAGAGGTGGGAGGAGGCATGGGGACAGAGAGACAGAGATGGGACAGGGACACAAAGATGCGAAAAAGCATCTGGGCAGGGACACAGGACAGAGTACAGGGACAGGGACGCTGAGATGGGACAGAGTACAGGGACGGGGTAGAGCATGGGAAGAGAGACACGGAGATGGGACAGAGCATGGGGACAGGGACATGGGAACAAGCCACAGAGGTGGGACAGGGCATAAGGACAAGGAGGCAGAGGTGGGGCAGAGACACAGAGGTGGGATAAGGCAAGGGGACAGGGACACAGAAATGGGAAAAAGCATCCGGGCCGGGACAGAGTACAGGGACAGGGGCAGGGGATGGGGACAGAGACGGAACAGGGATGGGACTTACAGGACTTCCGATTGCCGCGGGACCTCCTGCGCTCCTTGTTGGGGCAGGGCCGGGGGTTGGCGTTGAGGGTCACCGATTTCACCAGCCGGTCCATGATTTCATCCGAAGCATCGTCTGGGGAGCTGGGAACATCCTCCTGGGCTGGAGAGCCCTGGGCCGGGGAGCCCTGGGCCGGGGTGGTATGCCCTGTCCCTGCACGGGGACAATGGGGATGCTGCCATCGGCCATGCCCGGCCAGCTGGGCATGCCTCGAGTGCCTCTGCCACCCGGCTCCTACCCTGGCTGGCCCGGCTGCGGCGGGCAGGGGCATCTGTGGGGGAGGTCAGCAGGATCTTCATGCTCTCGTGACCCGCTTCCATCTGCTGCTCAGGGCCGCTGGACACCACGGCGGGCGGTGAAGCAGCCTCGGTGATGCCAGAGAACTTCTCGGTCTGCAGTGGGAGGAGAGGGTGGGTGTCGAGGACCTGGGGGGACATCACCTAGTGGTGGTGGCTGGCCAGGCGGACCCGTACCTCGGTGATGAGCCGTCCCCGGGTCTTGTTGCGCTCGCGGTGGGCAGCCCGTTTCTTCTGCTGCTGCAGGACGCGCTCCCGGCAAGTGCGGTACTCCAAGGCGAACTCCCGCAGCAGCTTGCAGATGGGCGTCACCTTCACGTCCCGTGCCACGCTCACCGGGTAACCCAGGTACAGCAGGAAGGAGTGAAACCTGCGGGGAACGTCACTCATGGTGGGCCACCAACGGGGCCGCAGGGTTCCTGCTGCGTCTCCAGGACCTCGAGCCACGGACCTGTTGAGGACGCGCCTGTGCACCACCTTCAAGACAACAATGCGCTGGGTGCTGTCCTTGAGGAAGTCCGTCAGCTTGCTCTTCAGCACCGGCTTGGTCTCGTGCTTGGCAATCACCTTCAGGTTGTCCCAGGAGGCCCTGCACCTCCGCTCCAGCTGCACCAGGCTGTTGGCGATTTCATCAAAGTCAACCTGGAAGAGTGAGATGTCAACCCTTGGCCACGCCAGTGGAGCTGGGCAGCTGTGGGACCTGCACCCTTGCCTTGGTGGGTGTGATCTGCCTTGCCTCACCTTGGCACAGCGGGTGATAGAGGCGATCTCCGAGTAGAGGTCAGTGGTTTCTGGGAACTTCTCTACCACCATCTGGCAGAGATGGTGGAGTAGGGACTGCCGGTGCACCGTGTCCTTCACTTCTGAGACCTTCTCCAGGTAGCCCAGCTCAAAGCCTCTGCTCTGAAACCCCAATGGACTCAGCAGGGCCTCTCCATCCATCCCACCGCCAGCAGATCACGCAGACCCACTGGGTCCCCACCAGCACCCACACCACCCGGCCTCCTCAGGCACCATCCCAAGCTTCACATGGTTCCCCCTTAGGTACTCAATGCACCATGGCTGGTCCTGTCCTTGCAGCACTCAAGACAGGCCATGTCCCTCCACACCCTGCTCCTCACCTGGGAGCCATTCAAGAAGTTGCCCATGGCCAGCAGCGTGGCCAGGATGCACTTGAAGGTGTGATTTCTGGCCAGTTGCTCCATGCCCACCTTCAGATCAAAGAGCGGCTCTGCAATCTCCTGGGTGAGGAGAGAGGCAGGTGAGATCCCTTGGCTACCCTCTCCCTTGGGAGCTTCAGGATTTGCTCTTGCCCATGAGGACAACCACCTCATGGTCAACCCAAGTCCATGCTTGCCTTGGGGACCTGCAGCCCATCCCCAGCCAGGATGGTGTGTCCCGTATTCGGACATGGCTGGTCCCCACCAGGAACACGCTTGGCTCAGCACTCAGCACTGCTGGGGCTGGCAGCGGTGGGAGAGTGGAGGGGTGATGGGGTACATGGCTCTGTACCTGCTCCAGGCTCTCGTAGTCCAGCTTGAAGGCCCAGAGCTGGAGTCTGGCTGTGAGATCGCTGATGGAAGACAAGGCAAGCAGAAACTGCTCTGCCGAGCCCAAGGGCACATCAGGGTTGGCCAATTGGGCCTCCTGGATCTTCTGCTTCTCCTCCTCAGTTGGGACCATGGTCAGGATTTTCTAGAGCAGGCAAAGAGGGATGTGTCAGACTCCAGGCGTGTCACCATGGGACGCGTCACCCCAGGGCTGACAGCACAGGCATCATGGCATGGAGGTCTCCTGGCCAAGGGAAACAACATGCATGAGGGCTTCAGAGGGACCGAGCTTCTCTCTTGCTCACCTCAATCCCTTCCTTATTGACCGCAAACTCGTCAAAGTTGAGCACAGCTGTCTTGATGATGTGCACAGGTGGCAGCACCGTGAGGCCAATGTTGATGGCATTGCTCCTCTTGGGGTCCAGCACCACCACCACCTTCTTCCCATCGATGGCCTTCTGCAAAGAAGACAGGATGGATGGGGACTGCCAGGCGCAAAGGGCTCACCTTCATGAAAACACCATGGACACGGGGAGCCACCGATCAGGGACCCAGTGGTGAGCCAAACCTGCACACTGCCCATCAATGTCCCCACCAGGCCTCTGGGCTGCAGGTACCCATCCTCAGCATAAGCTAGGGGCAAGAGTGCATGCCTGGGGTCCCCACAGGAACTAATGGCCTTCATCCCACCTCTCAAGTCCCCTTGGCTGATGGGTGCCAGCCTGCTGATACCTTTGAAGTTGGCGCTTCCTTTGACCGTGACTCAAAGAGATGCTCCAGTTTGGCAACATTGACCTCGACATTCTGCAGGGACGCCCACAGTGTCGCCTGGCCGAACCTGCCCGGCCCCACAGTGCCATCCAGCTGTTTCAGCTCCTTCCAGAAGAGCTTTACTGTCCTCTTCTTCTTGGCCTGTGAGGGGCCATCCGTTGCTGAGGCGCTTGGCAGCCCTGGTAAGAGTGGGCAGCCAGGAGGAGGTGGAGGTGGTGGGCAGCCGGGGACCCCAGGAGGTGGAGGTGGAGGTGGTGGGCAGCCGAGGACCCCAGGAGGTGGAGGGGGAACCATGAGAGCTCCAGCGTTTGTTGCTTCAATTCTGGGAGGAAGGGAGGAGCCGTTGGTCATGGGCCCCGTGTCCAGGATGTCAAAGTCTTCTTCTTCCCCCAGATCAGTGAAGTCCAGGTCCTTGATCTTCAGCTGCACGGGGCTGGCCTCCAGGCGCTCCCATGTCAGCTCCACGTCCTTCTTGATGGGCATCATCCCGGTGTTCTCCAACTTCTGTGTGTGGGTCTCGGCATCTACGTTGGACATGGCACGTGCCAGCTTGGCGTGGGCGCTGGCCACTGGCCCGTCCGGAGCCCTGCTGCGGGACCAAGTGGCCTCCTGCTCCCGGTTGCCACCTCCCTCAACGTCCATCTCCACCTCACCCTGGACCACGGGGGATGACGGGACCTCTGGGAGAACCTTCTCCCTCCCTGGCTCCGAGGAGCCCTTGGAGTAGAGCATGTCCAGCATAAACTTGGTGTCAGAGGAGATGGTGCTGCAGGAGTCGGTGGTATCCAGCCGAGCCAGGTGAGACCCTGCAGGGAGAAGGGGAGAGGCTGGGACAGCCCACGTGGAGGGGAAGGAGCTGCTGGGCTGCACGTAGAGTTGGGGTCCCGCTCCACAGCGGGGACATGCTCAGATGGCGGCGTTGGGAGTGGGACGGGGAGGTACCACCCAGCTCCTCCATGGTTCTGGGTATCACAGGTGTGGGCTGGGGACAGAGGAGCCACTAACACCCACCCCGGGGACCCCGATGAGCCCCGAGCCAGGAACACACACCCTGGCAGCACCTACTGGGTGGCTCTGTCCCGGGCTCAGGTGTGCCACCATCCCTGTCCCATGCGAGAGCAGTAGGATGCTCCAGCGCAGCATCGCCGAAGACATCGAGCCGTCCCTTGGCCATGGAAGAGATCTTCTCCTTCTGGGCTGCAGCCAGGTTCTCCAAGAAGCGAGCTCTACAAGACAGGGGTGGGACATTGCTGGGAGGAAGGCAAGGATGGGGACAACGGGGACGACGGGCAAACCACGCCATGCCACACTGCACAACCAGCCCCGCAGCACAGAAACCCCCTGCACTGGCCACACATCAAGGACCCGGAGGCTTCAACCTCCTCGGAGGCCTGCAGAAAGACAGATGATGCCACCACGGCTTGGGGACAGGGATGCCGCAGCCCCATGGGAGCCGAAGGCTCGTGCCGTCAAGGTGCCGCTGTCACCTCTTGGTCCCGATGAACACGGTGCTCACCACGACCCTCGTCTAAAAGCTGCAAACCCCAGGAGGGTGCTCATGGGGACCCTCCTGCTCCTCACCCCCAGCCTGGCTGGAGCTCAGGTGCCTCCAGCCGGGCGCTGGCCCCAGGAAGCGCATGCCTGGAGACACACGCATGCCTCTACTTACTCAAATTTCCTCAAAATAGGCTTGTCCCCACGCAAGGGGGGGGCATCCTCCCGCCTGAGGGCCCATGGCCCTGGGGGTCACGGGGAGGCGGGAGAGCCCCAGCGAGTCCCCTCCAGCCCCGGCACCGCATGGTGCTGGCGACATGGGGCGCTGTCTGTCCCACCCCAAAACCAGAGCCACCCAGTTTGCCACCAGCGTGGCAATGCCAGCCCCGGGGCGGGCTGTGCCACCCCCGGCAGGGACACCTCACAGCCCAGAAAGGGTCCCGTGGGGGATGCTGGTGATGGGGGGAGCGGGCTGGGGTCCCGCTGGCAGGGCTCGGAGGGGAGAGGCGAGGGATGGGGGGAGAGGAGAGGCAAGGTGGGTGCAAGGGGCAGCGAGCGAGGCAGGGCAGTGCCCGCTCCTGCCGGAGCATCCCGCCGGGAGGGAGCACACACGCGTGCAGAGCCCGGGCACTTACCAGACAGGGGCAGTTTGGCGCAGCCTGCAAAAGGAAAGATAGAAAAAGAGTGGGCAGAGGAGAGGGCAAGCGTGGGCAGAGAGGAGGAGCGAGGAGGAGCTGGAGCGGAGCCGTGTGTGCCTGAAGGATGCCCTGGAGCCCCTGGCTGGACCCTCTTGGATGCCCGCTCCCCCATCACGCTTCTCTCCAGCCCCGGTGCCTATCCAGACTCTCTTTACCCCTGGGAAAGGCACATCCCACCCACCTGGGAGCCCCCCCGCTGCCACCCCATGGGGACCCCCGGTGCACCCGTCCCCTCCTGGCTCCTTACTTGTAGACGCTGCGCTCGCCCGGGCACGGGGGCTGCTCCTTCTCGGCCGGGGGGG